GCGTGTAGATACCCCACTTCCAATAGATAATTATGCTCATACGACCCCGATGGATTTGCCCCTTGCCCCTGGTATAGGTTTGACTACTCCAATTAGAGGAGCGATCGTTTGTGAGTCTGAGCCTATGAGGTTAGTATTAGATGAGAATCTCGGTAGACAGTTTCTCTAGTTGATTTATGGAGAGGTTCGAGCTGCTGGTGTTACACCCGAAGCTCCTATTTGTCAGACTTTGATTGCTAATGGAGTTAGGACATTTGGAGGCATTATTGGTGGAGTTATGACTGAGGCTGATGATTGATTTTGTGATACTGAGAAACGTATTGATCAACTAGTTTTATATCTGCATCGGCCTTTTTTAGGGGTTGTTTCTATGTTGGACGGGAATGACCACACTTGGTGGGAGTCTATTATGAGTAGTGTTTCGGTCCATCGCTTGACTCTAGATTTTTTTAGGGAGCATTTTAGGAGTAACTTTCTGGAAGAACGTTATTTGGCTCAGACGCGATAACAATTTCAAGACCTGGTTTAGGGTGATATGACAATCTCTGAGTATGAGATCGAGTTTTTGAAGTTACTGAAGTATGGCTCCAGTTCGATACCTAGCGAGTGAGATAGGTGTTAAAAGTTTTCTTAGGGACTTAGATACGAGCTACGTCATCAGGTGGTTACTCATTAGGATGAGGTGTTCAATGTTGTAGTAGGGAGAGAAAAAGATGTTGAGGAAGTCGAGGCATATTCTCCTGATAAAGACAAGGTAGAACTAGAGCAATCTAAGAGATCTTCTGGTCAATCTGAGACTTCTGTATGCCCTGATAAAAGGGCTCGTACAGCTTCCCATCAGAGGAGTCATACTGGTTCAAGGATTATGTCACCTCCACCTCCAATAGTTAGTCGAGGTGATTCTTCAGGTTTCACTCCGATACCAAGTTGCGAGCATTGTGGAAATCAACACAGAAGAGAGTTTTGTAAGAAGATAGGTGCATGTTATTGTTGTGGATATAATGAGCATTTTCTTAGGAATTGTCCACATCTAGCCTCTATCGATCGGATCCCCGCTCAGATTCCTGTATATTCACAAGCTTCTATTCAAACTCCCGCTAGGATTCCCATTCAGGGTAAGACTTCCAGATTTGTTTCTAAGGTCGACAGTAGAGTTCGATCGCAGACCAAAGGACCAACTGCTTTTGAGGTTAGACATACTGCCTTGTCTATGCTACCCGAGGTTCTGGTGATCGAGTTGAGCCTAGGACTTCTACAGGTATAATTATTGTTATTTCTATCATTTCCATGCATTTCTAATAACGTCCTTTTCTAGATTCGAGTTTCGTATCTTGAGATCCTCAGATTTTAAATTTAAGGCACCTAGATCACCGTTTTCGTTCTGAATCTAGTGAGTTTTTTTCGTTATCATTTATAGAGTAATTAGCTTTTGTCCTATTAAAGAACATTTAGAGACCTAGTTTTTGTTTTCTATTTGACTCGAATGAATTTTGAGGCTGAAATTCTTTTAAAGGGAGGAGAATTTTCACACCTCACTCTTTTTAATTAAAAATTTTAAATTAATTTAATTAATTTGGAGACTAAATTATAAATTTCAAAAGTTTACAGCTCGATTTTGAACCTATAAAAATTTCAGGGACTTAACCCTGAGTTGTCATATTTTTTGGTTAGTGGAAAAAATAAAATAGGTAAGGGCGTGGCTGAGGGGTTTAAAACCCCTGTCTCAAGTATGGCTAGCCATCACCCGACCATTAAACTTGGGCACTGTTTGTGATTATTATTATTAAATATATATTTTATAGGTTAAAACTCTAGATATAACCCAAAAATGCTTTTTTATTTCAGAAATCAAAATATAAATCCCTAAATTTCATAACCCTAAACTCTAGCCGCCACAACCCCCTCTATCGATTCAGCGCCGTCTGGTCACCATTGGGAGTGTCGCCACCATCATTTGCCTAGCTATTGTTCAGTGACCAAAACCCCTCTAACCGATCGTCGAAAGGTGTCATCCATCTTCGTGGAGAAGCCATTGAAGTTCCGCCAAAACACCCCCGTCTCCTCGGTTTATTATGAATTCTGCCCAGGTTATGCATCAGTTCATCGCACCACTACCTCAGCTAAGCTGCCGTCATCGTCCAATCAAAATCCTATCGGTGTGTCACGTTGAGGTCGTTGTTCTCACCGTCTGTCATGGGTAAGCCCCTAAACACTTAAATTCGATTATTTATTGTGTTTTTACTGATTGTTTTTAGTTTTTTGGTGTTGTAAATGATGATTTGGTGATTTTGGAGTAACCAACAACCATCCCCAATCTCGTTGATATCACCACGTGTTTCCGCATTCGCGTGGAGCTTCTCCTCCAGCCTTGGCCCCTTCTAAAAACGATATAAGTGGAACGAACTGGCCCAATCTAGTCTGAATTGGGTCTGTGTGGCCTGACCAAGTCAACCTAACTGAGCCAACTGAGATTGATCTGAGTCAACTCGAACCGGTATGACCCGATGACTTTGACCTGCCCGTTAACTTTGATTTTGACCATTAACCTTTGACTTTGACCAAAAAGTCAAATATTTTGAAAAGTTATATTTTATGTTTTTCGACGTCTTGAGTCTAAATCCAAAGTCTATTTTACCAAATTCTAACTAGAAAGTCTCCGAATTGACCCGTAAAATAAAACATACATATGTAAATTAAGTAATTTAATAAAGTTCATTTAATTTAAGGTCAATAATTGATTAATTTATGATATCGTTAATTAGGTACTCGTGGATCTCCTAACCATTCTTTTGCTCGACCCAGTTCCTCTAGATCCGTTCGTCTGCGTGATCCCGTGATTAATGGTATAGTTCTATAACTCTGTTAGATACTCAGTTTAGAATACTACTCCGATAATAATTTTGTTCTGATATGACTTAGGTTCTCGTATTATCGAATAGCGTAGTGAAGCTGGTGCTCGATAGATCTACCGAACTAATTCTTTTTGCGAGGTGTGTTCCTTGTGTGCTATATATATTTGTTTTAAATACTTGTTTGAAATATCATGTGCACATGACTGTTTTACCGATTTGTAATATGGCTAGTTGAGCTGATTTAATTTTGTATGATTTATCTGTTCCAAGTGTGATTTCTTATTTACTAAAGTTTTAAGCTTAATTGTATTATTCATATTATATGGTTACTATTTTTACCGAATTCATATCTGTTTGAACTGTGATTTCCTTGTTATTGTTAGTTACTGAATTCATATCTAGTATGAAGTCTCTGCTTGTTCATCTTTGGTCAAACTGGTAATTTCTTATATAGATTCAACACTGATCGAGCTGGTAATTCCTCATGGACCTAAGGCGACCCTTGGGTGGGCTCCTAGGCCCAACGGGCCTAGTGGTAAGACCTTATAGACCCTAAGTTACTCCCTTAGGGTAACTCCTTTGCTCTGTGCATTGGGTAAGTCCTTATGGGCCTGAGGGCACACCCCTCAGGTGGGCACATAAGCTTTAGCTAGGGTAAGACCTTATGGACCCAAGGTGCTCTCTTAGGTTAGCTCCTATGCCCTTTGGGTCTAGGGTAAGTCCTTGTAGATGCAATTTTGGGGAACTGCATATGGTGTTCGGTTGGAGGGCGATTTTGTATTTTAAGCTAAAAACACTACTGATGTTTTCATAACTTGGAACTAAAATGTTTTGGAAACTTAACTGTATGTTTTTATTTTGCACTACTGGAACAGACTGAGCTCCCTAGCTCACTCCCCCAAACATTTCTCTTTTAGATACTTTTTGATAGGCAACCCAGACCTTGTACTTGGAGGATCGACACATTCGTACCGTATATTTTGTTTTAATGTTTTTATCTTCCGATTTGTCATTAGTTTTGAGTGACATGTGCCTAATTATTTTGAAATACATATTTTGTGACGCATATTGATTTTGCTATTGACATTGGTTTATTTTGATACTAACTAGGGAATGTTTATTTTACTCAATCTTTTATGGCTTATAATATTCAATTTGGACTTTTTTATCATTACATTTTAAGTTGTGGTTATAATATGGTTTTAAATTATAAAAAAATATTTTCAAATCAAATCATTAATGTAATCCACTAGATATGGTCTTAACGTATAGATTGGGTCTAGAGGATTATATAAACAGTTTATTAATAATAAAAAATAGGGTAAATAGTTTATAAATTTAACTAAAAATTATTCAACATGTCTAATAATAAAAATTAAAAATAACGATTATCATATAAAATAAAAGAAAAAAAATCTTAGTCGATGATTTCTAATTAAAATACAAAAATTTATGTTGATATTAGAGCAAAGATAGACCTAAATTATAATTTTCAGTATTTTATATATTCATTTAATTGTTTAGATTTGAATTTATAGTTTTTCTTAAAGGAATAGTTGGATTTATTTAAGATCGTTCAAAAGGGCCTCACATAAATGGTCCAGCTGTTACACACTAAGGAAAATGAAACACCACAAATAAATCTTATATGAAACCTAACCAAACGAAAATAAACAAAGAAACTGGATCTGAACCTAAAACAAACACAGAAAAATCTGGCTCTCCCCTTCCTTGCTCCGAAGCTGATAGACGATGAAGCATGTCGAGCAAGGAACCAAACAAAACACATTGATCTAAAAAGCACTGACCCCTTTTAAAGTTCTTCTATGGTGGGTCGATTCACCGCCTATCCTCCAAAGCTTGGTCCTCCACATATCGAGGCACCTCCTCCACCCAGAAGCGATCATAAGGGCCGAAAGACGAATCGGCCGTGAGCATGTGAGCTGCCTTATTTCCTTCCCTTGGAACAAACTGGTACCTACATACATGAAACTGATCAACTCTTCTCTTTGCCTCTCATGTTATTGCGCTGATTTCCGAGAGATCTGGGTATGAGGACTTTAATTTTTCAATTACCTATCTCTAGTCACCCTCTTGTATCACCGATCGAAACCCTAGCTCCTTCGCTAGTTGTATTCAATGCATAGGTTCCTAATAAAATATATTATTATTATTTACATATTTACATTTTTTTGTAGGCCACTTGAAGCCCAAACACAAGTTCCAGACCCAATTACAAGTGACCCAACAGGAGACCTACTGCAGTAAACCCAGGATCTAACCCGAAGCCCAACAGACAAACCCAGACCTAGTTATAACCAAGGTCCGACCCTACTGCAGTATGATTTGACCCGAAACAAATTAGGGTTTTTAAACCCTAATCAAGCAACTATCGCAACTCTTTAACTACCATATCAGCGCGTGGACCTCACCGCTCCTCCAGCTCGCGCGTTGCCATTGATCTATATCACCGCCGTTTTCATAAGCAATTTTGTCAAACACTGCAAAATAGAAACCCAATCAATCAGTCAATATACCAAGTCAGAAAACCCCATGCCATAAATCCCAAAAATCTGGGATTTTCTACCTATAAAAATAAGCGACCATACCTAATTTTATCTACACAAAAGCAACCATAGATAAAAGAAAAAAACCAGATCAAAAGAGGACAGAGAGCATTCAGGAACATTCGGTGGAAAAAAAACAAAGAAAATCCCAGAGAAAAATCCGAGAAACCAAAAGAAAAATCAGAGTGGAGATAATACAAAAAGAGACTCATACCTCGGTTAGAAGTTGGGGGAGCCCAAGAGTCGTCGATGTTCATTTTTTTCGAAAGATAAATCATCAGATCTAAGGGTCTGTGCTATATTTTAGGTTAGGAGGGTTTAAGATTCGAACTAAGGGAGACTTAGGGAGTGTTTCGGGAGCTTTTTACTCCCTCTATCTGCAGTGGGTGGTTATTCTTTGTCGCCGGTGAGCGGCGTTCTTCTCTTGCCTGATAGAGGAGTTGAGAGAGTTTGTAAACTCTCTCTTTCCTCTCTTATATTAAAACGAAACAAATGGGAGAGGGACTAGGTTTTTTCCTTGAAACTGGACATTTATACCTCACGTGATACGACGACATTTTGCCAAGGGTAGGTCTATAATTTTGCATATGGATTAATGGCATATTAGGTCCATGCTCTTTGTAATCTTTCTGTTTTTACCATTGAATGAAACTCTTGTTTTCTTTCATTTCGAGCACATTAACTAATTTTAGTTCATTCTCGTCCTTGTTTGGATAGTATACATCTTTGCTAGTTTTTTCTGATTTCGGTCTACATCTTTGTTATCTTTTATTTTAGTCCATATTCGTACTTAATCATAGCTTTTATAATGTTTTTAAAATTTGGCTAATTATTTTGCTTCATTTTCATTTCGGTTCTTTATGTTTGCTTATAGTTCTATTAGTTTAACGTATGAGTTAGGCTTCATATTTTTCGCTATGTTTATTTTAGTCACTATATTTAGTATAGTATTTAGGATCTAGTGGTTTTATTATGTATTCAGGCCATGTCATTTTTCGTTATTTTAATTTAGTCTTTTTGTAATTTAATTTCATATTAGTTTTATTACTTTAATTTAAACCATATATTTTTGTTTATTTATGTTATTAATGTTTTTTTATTATATTATATATGCAAACATAGTATGTTTGTAAAATGTTCACATTTATTTATTTTATATTATATTACTTGTTTTATTTGGATTCACGGGATGCTTTCTTTATCAATGATATGTGAACCTTATAAATGATATCGATATTTTTCGTAATCTACTTGAATATTTTCAAGAACATCAATTTGTAGAATGGGCGTGGAAAACATTGCTTGATCGAGGTAGTGCGATCTGATACGACATTCAAACAAAATGAGAGCTTGAAATAAATCAAAGTTTTAGTACTATTTAATTCATTTTTATTTTTAGTTAAACAATAAAATGTATGTTTCTCTAAATAATAATTTATTTTATTTTATGTAAAATGTTGATATGCAATTTATGTTAGATGTGCGTTTTTATTCGAAGATAGAATATTATTTTACTAATGAGAAATAGTTGAGATAACTTTCTTGACAGATGATTGCAAATTTCAAGATTTCTTATCGAGTAAAAGAATTTCCTTTAAATAATTAATTCGAAGTAAATTAATCAAACTTTAATAAATGGATTATAATTTAACTTTATATTCAATTTATAATTTCCACCATTACGACAACGTGTAAGCGACTAAGTACCAATTTTGGGCGCTGTGGGGGCGCTAATCCTTCCCCACATGTAATCGACTTCCGAACCCATTAATTCAGATTTTTGGTAAATGCGGACCAATTTTTGTCTTAAAAATGATTTTTCTTAAAATTGTTTTAAAAGACGTTTTTAGGTATTCGACCTACCTAACCCAAAGGTCGATGGCAACTCCCATTCAATTTATTCAAAATATCCCAAAATCGTCAATTTTTTAAATCAAAGTCATAATGTTAATTTAAACATTAATTGTTTTTTTAAAAATGGTTGTGACAGCTTGGCGACTCCGCTGGGGACGTTTTTAGGGAGTCATGCTGTAAGTCGCTTACACATTGTCGTTGTGGTGGAAATTATGAGTTCAAGTCTTTAGTTAACTTATGACCCATTTATTGAGGTTTTTAATTTCTTCATTTTTAATTGTCATACTAACATTTTATTTTTTTGCTTTCAGTTTTGTCCAAGTTTTTATTGAGTGTTTTTACTTTTCCGTTTTTTGAGTCAAAGGTTTGTACATTCCTCTTCACTCACATCACTTGCATTTGCATAACATAATCTGTAGACCCGAGCTTCGATCCAAATAAAGTTGGGGTGAATGCTTTACTCTCGTAAGAATTTATTCTTCGTATGAGTTTTAGCAAATAACCCATGGGATACATACTTTGTACATTCGTAGGGATTTACTCATCGTATGGGTATAATGCAGTGAATCCCCTTGAATTGAACTCGTTACGTTCGAAACCTGTAATGGGTGAGGATCGAGGGTTTGGTAGCCCAAGGGGCACCGACATCAAGGACAATTCGAGTACCCTTTTCCTCATAGTGTCGAAACCATGCATATAGTGAACCGTAGAATGGTCACCCTAGGTATAGTCATACTGAACCTCTGTCCGTCAGTAGGTACCCAAAATAAGTATACATGAAGGATAAACAACTCTAAACCTTTACCTTTTACTTTAAGTTCGTAGAATATATTTATTCTTTTCGAATAAAAGCATGCAAACTAGATACCATGTGGTTATGATCATTTTCTTGAAAATTAATCGTTGTGGGTAGAAAGCATGTCCGGGTAGGATTACTATCTATTAAAAGCATGCTCGGTATATATCATGATTGGGTAGGTGCTATATTTATCTTTAGATATCATCTTTTAACTCTATTGATTATCTTGCTTGTAGTAACTTATTTCTTTTCTTTTGTTTGAATCATTTTTCATCATTCTTTGCATTACATTTCATTGACATAACATAATGCGAAAGTGTTGATACGCAAGGGGATATTCAAGAGAAAATTTTCACAAAAAGAGGTAAAAGTTTTCAATAGAAGAGGTAAAAGTTTTCAATCAAGTAGTCGCGTACATAGACATGCACCGAGGGCTTAAGGTAGTTGAGAGTACAAGAATGAGACTTGCTCGAATATAGTGAAACATTCGAGACTGAAATGACGATCTATTGATCCGAGGAGTGATCTAACATTAAAGCTTTGTCTACAATCGTTTCATCACTAGTCAACAAGGAACGACACACTAACTTCAACACCGCCGGGGCATTAACGGAGTTAGGTTACAGAGCGCTTGAGGGGTATCATTTTCAAGGAAGAAGATCCAAGACGAAGCAGTGATTCACTTCAGACTCAACATCTAAGAGAAAGCATGTCTGTAAAATGGATTATCTTGTAATGTGAAGGCTTTTATCTCTGGAGAAAATTATTCTATGATATTCATCGTTGGGATCAATTTTTTTGTATATACATTCGCATCTTCGCATTTTGGCATCTGCATTTCATTTTTAAGCAATTTCACATTCATCATTCATGAAAACATGGAATTAATTCGGGGTGGATTCAATGAAGCGGTCCTAGTCACATGACACCACATCGAGAATAGAAGCAGGATTTGAATGATTAAAGGAAGAAGTTGAAATCAGTACGGTGGGAGCCTATTCAGCTGGTTGTAAGTCTAAGCCTACCAAGATGATCGAAGATAAAAGAGTCCCCATATCATGAGGTCTATGATATTGATACCGTGTGAAGTTACCATATAGGAAGCTCCAGACACACCATTGAGAATTGTGGGGCATTGAAGCTAAAGGTCTAGAACTTGTTTGAATCAGGGGCATGGGACATTCGAAGTCATCGCATCTACCACTTGCATTAATAGCCTTGTTTTGTTTTAACTTGTTTTTATTCTTTCTTTAATATCTGCTTAAATATTTTTTAATCTTTTGATGACTGAATTTATGCTACCTTCTAAGGTTAAATAATTGAACGAATTTTAATCTTGTAGTTCTTTGAATATCGAATGAATTACATATTCTTTTAGTTCTTCAAGAATTATAGATTTTTGACATATGACAAGATTAGACCTTTCTTATACCATCCAAAACCCGAAATAAATTTCCCGATTCTTTCCCTAAAATAATTCATGGTCACTATCAAATGACCAAAATTTGACATTACATCTCTTTGAGACCTTGAACTATACCCTTTACCTTTTTCTAGACACAAAAGTCATACCCTTACCTTTTGTTAAGCCAATAAAGTCACACCATTGTCTTATTAGACGCAAAACCGACATTTTTCTACCAATAAAACCTAAAGGCATTGAGTACAAGATGTTCACTTGAACGTGAACCTTCCTATAAGAAAACACAACGTGGGGTATCTCGTATTAATTTTCTGAAGATGAGCCTGAATAATTGAGACATGCTGGGAGAAAGAAGAAAAATGAAATTAATTCAAAATAATTCTATCATGCATTAATTACATTGTTTTCATGTGAAAAAAATAATCCTGAATATCTATCCCCCTGGGGATACCTCTTCTGCAAGGACTTCTATGTATGAAATGAATAGCTATAATTTACTTTGAAGGATTAAAAGTGTAACTAATTCTTTGATATCCAATGAACTCTTGTTTTATGATTTGTTTCAATTGTGAAACCTAGAAAGGGGCAATATTTTTCAAACTGTTGATTAAACATTCTTTTAATTGATATTTTCAGACTTTTGAAAATAAAAGAAGAAGAAATTTTTTTTAACAAGATAATCTCTCTGGAAGCATATCATGGAATTCAACAAATATTTATCCGAAGCTCATGATCGAAGCTGGGGCAAGGGGAGTCGAATTTTTGGGCAAAATTAGATGGGTAAAGGAAAACCAATGGTCTCAGGTTGAAGTTTGCAAGAGTACACCCTGGTGGAAAATGAAGACAACTGAAGCAGGGATAGAATGAAGACTGCTCATGCTATCATTCTCCTCACAGATCGAGAAAAACATACATCAACATACATGAAATTTGCATCTTTGCATCAAACATTCATCATCATGTGCAATAAAGACATTTTCCCCTCTCATGAGGATAAATTCGAAAAATCCATCAAATCAAACACATAAAATAAACTTCATCATGGCATCCATCATAAAATCCAAGTTAGTTAGTCTTAAATGCATCATTTTGATCCTTCAAGAAATCAATGTTCGAAAATGACCAGATGTCTCTAAACCTGAAGAAACAGATTCATCATCCTGAAGTGAATGATCAGATCTTCTGAAGGCATTTCCTCAGCATGCAGGAACAAGCAGACTATATGTCTCATTTGATGTTGTTTCTCTCGAAACAAAGGGTCGTCTCGCTAGAGATAATTTTTCTTAAAAACAAATGTTGTCTCGCTTGAGGCAGTTTTCTCTTAAAACAAAATTTGTCTAACTTGAAATATTTTCCCTTGGAACACAAATTCCAAAGTTGTTTTACTTGAAACAATATTAATCTCACATGAGATA